TTCCTCTGCTATTGTATCTGCTATCCAAAACCCCAAAACCCCAAAACCCCAAAACCCCTATATAACAGAGATGATCAAGGGTTTATCATAATTATAATGAGAACCAACCTTTTTATTACCATTGCTCTGACTGCACTTGTACTCTTCTCAAGTGTGAAGACTGTCGAAGCTAGCCTCCTCAAAGGCTTCTTGAAACAGAATGTGACTGCAAACTTACTTGATCATTTCATGAAAGGAATGAAGATTAATGAACTTGCTTCTAATACTACTGAATGTGTTCACTATTCTGAAGATGCCTATTTCCACTTGAAATCTTCTATCCAAAACATGACTGAAGGAAACTGGAACGTCAGCACCCACCTCTATTTCCTCTCATCTCTTGGAAATCTTACTCCAATGATCAAGACTTGTTACAATACCACCAAGAACGGAACCGCTGAGTTCTTTGAGCACTTTAATGGATTCCATAATTTCACAGACTTCATGAACCAGACTGCTACACATGTAATGGAGCACTATTGGGATTGGTACAAGATTACCAGCTCTCTGATGTTTGCTTTGGAAGGAAACAGAACTGATGAAGTTGCTTATCAACTTGGAGCTGCCACAAGACTAATTATTGATGTTACTCCAAGATCGGCAAAACTGGATATTTTGAGAAGTAGCCAACCTTCAAACTCTTTCAACCTGAAGCTTCCAGACTTGAGACCCTATGAGAGGTTCTTTTCAGGGTTCATCAACGGCTCCCATATCTTCAACTCGACCAATATTACCCACTGTGTCAATGAGACAAAGTTCATGGCTGATGCATTTGAAAATGCTACTTATGGATTGTCCAACAAAACCACCGATGGATATGAACACGCCTTATTCGATATTGCTGATGTACTCGAGCACCTAGCTCCCCACACTGAAGCATGCTATGGAGGTCTCATCGACATCATGGATATTTTGAATAGATATAACCAGACTATCTATTCTCCAACTCAATTGGGAATCACCGCGTTTAGGAACAGCCCAGCTCTTTATGCTGATGCAGTGTCTGCTTATGAGAGCTATCACAGCTCCAATTACACTGCTATGGGCTGGAGGATCGGAGATTTCTTCTTTAATTTGTTTGCTAATAACTAGCTTTTGTTACCGGTATCTTTTATCTCCAAGTAAAATAATTTCTATTGTGTACCTATGTACAAGATTAAATTAACAAATTTACTAGTATTAGATTCTATAACGGATAGAAGACATGGGGTTTTGGGGTTTTGGGGTTTTGGGGTTTTGGGGTTTTGGGG